CATAAATATTTATTGAATACTTTTTCGGGGGGGATGCACCAATTTTTTTTTGTTTTTTTCCTTTTGATATTTTTTTAATACCTCAGACCTGTTGGGAAAAAAAAAGAAATAATAAAAAAACAAAGACTCAAAACCAACAACAACAACTTCAAGCCAACTTTGGGAGGCTCTCAAAGTCCCTCCCAGAAATCTGTGACTTGGCAGGGTTTGCCACAAAGGGTCTGGTTGTTCCTTTAGTTCTATTTTTGTCGTTCTAGTTTCCATATTAGGAGGGAAGGGGGGGGAGAAATAATGATATATAAATATTATGCAAAAAAAAAAAAAAAAAGAAAAAAGAAAAAAAAAATCTAGTTTTCTTTAGCTCAGAAACTGATATTTTTACGTCAGCCATATGTATTTTGTTTAAAGAAAAAAAAAAGAAAATAAATCTCGAGTCCCGCCACTGCGTGAGGGCAGGTGCAAGGGACACTTTAATTAATTCCGTGGATTAATTAATTAATTCAGCCATCGGATGCCAGTCAGCTTCCTTTTCTCTGAGCAGCCATCTTTCTACTAGATGTGAGTTGGATGACACAAACGGGGTTTTTTTATATAAATATCTATAAATTATGTTGGTGTATGGCCGGTTGCTTCAAGTATAAATGTTTCTTGTGCAGATTTCCTGTAAAGTTATATTTTTTTTTGGGAAGGGGGGGTAAATTTCAGCGATATCCTGGCAGCAGCTGACTCTCGGCTTAAGTTATTGAGGACACAGAAAAAAAAAAAGATTTGGGGGAGATCGGTGCTCCAAAAAAATATAAAATAAAGGCATGGCCGGCGGCACAGACTTTTGGGGACTCTCTGCACCATGCCTTGCCTAGGGGGAGATATAAATATATCTATAAATATATATTATTACGAATAATTTCCGGGTTTTTTTCCGCTTTGTTTGAACTGCCACAAGCGCGCACGGAGCTGGGAAGTTGAGTTTGCCCCGTCCCGCCTTCGACCCGCCTCGGAACGCTCCGTTATACCGAAACACTCCAAACATCCCTGCTGCGATCCTGGATTTCCTCAGGGGGTGAATTTCCTGTGGATTTCCCGTGGATTTGGCGGATCGGTACCAAAGACATCCCACCGCGGGCCCCGGGCACGCTTCGCTCGACCGGGCGGCTCGAGGCGTTCTTGCTTTTCTCCTGCTGAGGTTTTTATGATTTGCACAGGGAGAGGGGTGTGTGGGGTGGGGGTTTAAACTATTTTTTTTTTGTCCCCCCTCCCCATAAAGTTTTTTTTCTGTGCAATAAGCTTCCGAGGGAAAATTTTCCAGACGATCTGGAGAAGGAAACAAACTAAACCGCGTTTTAGCATGGGCGGCCTTTGGCGGTTTTTTTCCCCCCCACGAGGGGATGGCTGGAAAAAATCCCCATCCCAAATCCAGGATGGCATCTCCAAGGTGCCACTGCCAGCTCCTGTCACCTTCTGGGACCGCAGGGACCACCCCACATCCCTGGGAGCTTTTTTGTCCCTGCAGGACACCCGGACCTGCATCGCTTCTGCTCCGGTGCCAACGCCTCGTGGAGCTCTGAGCCCCCAAAACTCTCCTTCTGTACCCCCAAATCTCCCTTCAGGATTTTGGGGAACCTTTTTCCTGCTCTTTTGCCATCCAAACAGGGGGATTTTGGCAACTTTTCCTCTCCAGCATCCTGGCCTCACCCCAATTCTGCTCTCCTCCTGCTCCCCAAAACGCCCARTTTTCATCCAGCAAAGCCCATGGCTAAAACTGCCTTTAGTTTACTTCCTCCCCTTCAATAAATATATATATATATACAGTCTGAACTCAACATTTACGTGTGTGTATATATATTTATCCAATGCTCTCACAAAACAAAAAAAAACTTCCTTTCGGAGTGGGCACGCAGAACCAAATTCTTTTTTTTTTTCCCCCGGTAACTCAGTATAAWAAGMACWGGWATTTTTRWAAAAAAAAAAAAWAAAAARCRGRAAAAAAAAAAAAAAAAAAAAAAAAAAGAAATACGAAACAAAAGACTGAATATTATGTGGTATGCATGACATTTAAAAAACAAAAAAACAAC